CTTTGATAGGACAAGAGAGAATCAATGTATGCTAGTCAGTCCTACTCTAGAGATTTAAAGGATCCTCCTTCAGGCATTAAAGTCCTGGAGCAATTCCAGGTGAAGTTGATGGGAATTTTTTATTGAATTCAAAGCGAACAAGATGCAGATTTTAAAGATCATGAAAGTTAAAAAAAAAAACCAGAGGACTCTGTAAGGCAAACACTGGTAGATGACATATATTATCAAAGAGCAGAGAAACCAAAGACAGAAAGAAAGGAATGAACTTAGTGTCATCATAAAGTGTAGAGGTCACCAAGACTTTGACTATGTATTTTTCCAGTTGGCACGCAAGGAGGCTTGTGAAGAGACATAAGGGAGTATTTTTATTGTTGTTACTTTCTGTACATCCTGGTTTAAACCACACCAATCTTCCTTGGAGGGAATCAGATGTTTATAAATAGTTGAGGATAAACCCCCAAGGAGTTTTAAAGTCTTGGTTTGGGGTCAATACTTTAAACCTTACTTAGAAAGACAAAGAAAAGAAAACAGCAACTTAGTTTGCTGTCCTTGTTTCTGAGCAGTGGACTATGCAGTACCCCATTAAATAAGTTTATTTTAAGTAAAGATCTCATCAATTGCAATCTTTGAAGGAAGGATACAGTGCTATTAATTGGATCGGCAATTTCCAGCCAACTGCAGAATTTTGAACCAAGTATGATGACGCTGAAGCTCTCAGAAATGTGCTACAGCCTCTTCCACATTAGGCAGATACAAGCATTCTCCCAGTGAGGCTGTATTATGATCGGATGCAATGAGCAACAAGGCAAAATGAAGTGGGATACGGCCATAATGCCAGAGACTGCCCCTCAAAAGACCTTCACACCCCATTTGCATTGCATGGATTCCACAAAGGACTTTTCCAATTCCTTCTGGACAGGAGACAAAAATGTTGAGGATTTAGGGTCAATTTACCTGAAGAAAGTCCAGATGCTAAATAGACATGGATAGCAAGAACAATAACTGGACAAAAATATCAAACTAAGTAAGGGAGAAAGAGTCCTGGAATGAACTTCATTTGAGAAACAGTGAAGTATCGGGAAGGGCAGTGATGTAGACAGAGTGGAGATGCACAGCTGCTCCTATACAGGTTACTGCCAGATACAGCATTTGTATCTTATTAAACAAACCATGAACTTTGAAAAATTATTGTTTATCTACTTGTACGTTTCTAAAGAGAGTTAAGTCAGATTAACATCAAAGTGCTGCTGGATTCAATCACATCTCTGCCAAACTTAGTGATTTTTCCTGAAGACTTCTAGGCCTACAAAGCCTGCCAAAAAATTCAGAAGAAGTTATCCATATGCAAAAGAGATCAACCAAAGAGCTGGAATGGATATTTTATTTATCAGCACACCTGAAAAAAACACAAACCCACCTATTGAATTCCCTTCATTCCCTGAAGTCATAGTTCTAGAGATAAAATTGACTTGTGGGTACGTATATAAATAATCCTCAACTAGAACAAGCAGAGAATTTACAACTTTCTTAGAAAGCACAAAACACCAGGCCACAGGGCAGTGGAACCAAAGGTATGTGGCTGGCCATCCCTTGCTGATGATTACATTCTGTAAGCAATTAGTATAAGGCTGGTTGCGTTGTGTGACATTTCAGTATTACATAGATTGCTGCCGCTTCTCCAGGCACTTCTCAATATCATCCAACACCTGGACAGCTGCTTTGGGAATACGAGTCCCTGGACCAAACACATTGGTAACACCAGCTTCATACAGGAAGTCGTAATCCTGTTCAAAAAGAAATTTAACATCTAGTTAATAGTGCAACAGAAAATTGACCCTTACAATTGGTGTGTGCTCTATCCTGTATGCTGGGCCTGAGAAAGCATATGCAACAAGTCCCAGAGAGAGGCACCACAGCATCAAGCGAAATAGCAAAAAAAGGGTAGTTAGGAGGAAAAGAAAATATCAAAAAAAACCATCCACAGGAAAGGTTTTATTTGTTTAGCATCAAACTAATGTCAGATCCTTGGAAAATATTCAAAAGTCAACTGGACGTGACCCTGAATAACCTAATCTAAATTTGATGTAACTTCTAATTGTGAAAATACTGTGTTAAACAAGGGCTTGGACCAGATAACTGCCAGTGGTCTCTTGCAATCTAAGTTACTCTAATTTTATGCTTGAAACTTCAAAAAGACCTGGGAAGCAGTTACGTAGTCTCCCTTACTTCTATATAGGATATATTACAACTTTTCCAACCACAGGCTAGTAGCATCCCACTGAGAGAGACTGGACAGAACACAATTTGTCTTTTAGAAAAATACTACAAGTTTTGTTTGTTCAATTTAAAAGTGTGTAATTCCTGAACAATTAATCTAATCAGCTAGAAAAGGAAGAAGTCTCGGAAAGGGAGTAACAGGGGACTTATATGCAAAATCAGTTTGAATCTCTCTAGACAGAAGATGACCCTAAAGGTGATACAGCCAGGTACACTGTGGGTGAATTAAGGAAAATTTAAAGACAAAAGCACAGATCTGACTGCAAGGGAGTTCAATAAACTGTTCAACAGGGGGAATGAAAGGCAACACTGAGGCCTGATGATGGGGAACGTGAGGAGAGGCTAAACAGTGAATGAGTTGTGTAACCTGTAGGTGTTGGGACTTGTCACGTGTCTTAGTCACTAGCTGTGCCTCTTACAAACTACTATTTGGAGTCATGAAGTCTCTTAAGACAGGAGCGAGCCTTTATCAGTAATATGCAAGGTGCTGGTAACCGGAAACCACAGAGCATAAAGAACATCTGCCCGAGGCTAGTCTTTTCACAACACAACTTAACATTCCATCCAAGAAACACTGTAAGTTAAAAGAGGACATGGTGTACAGAAAACCACATCAATGAGACCTGACAGCACTCTGTGACCATCCTGTAGATCTGTGCTGACCCTGGTGTCCGTACACAGTAGCCTTCAGTGCTGTAAATCACCTCTGACATTAACAGAATATAGGAAATAGCTAAAACCAGCACAAGAAAGAAATAAAGCAGTCTCCTAGTCTTGATAGAAATGATGTTGACCCATACCTGAGGTGGGATGACACCTCCACATATGACAAGAATGTCTGGCCGGCCAAGGCCGTTGAGTTCTTTGATGAGTTCAGGCACAAGAGTTTTATGACCTGCTGCAAGTGTACTCACACCAACACAGTGCACATCTGCATCAACTGCCTGCTGGGCCACTTCTCGAGGTGTCTGTATGGGAAGAGGATTATGTGACAAGTAATAGCCCCAGCCTGGTTGCTGAACAAGCATTAGAGGAAAAATTGCTGCATTTGAAATACATTGGACACCACTCAGTCAGTCATACCTGGAAGAGGGGACCTATATCCACATCAAAGCCAATGTCTGCAAATCCTGTAGCAATAACTTTAGCTCCTCTGTCGTGGCCATCTTGACCCATCTTTGCAACAAGTATACGAGGCCTGCGTCCCTCACGATCCATGAACTTGTTAACTCTGATTGAAAACACATATTTTAACATTGTAAGTCACTGAGATTCACTAGAAGTATGCCCAAAAATTAAAAAAGCACTGACTGCTATGGTAGCATAATTTCTGTACATCAAATAAAAAGATCTTCTAAGTCATGGTTTGTCTGTGTAGTCTGCACACTATGTTGATATTCATGTTATATGGTTACTAACTGATTTCTTGTGTTTACTAGCTTCAACAATAAAATGTCCTTTTTTAAAGAAAACCACTCCACTACTTTTCTGCTTTCTAATGGACATAATACTGAATTCTCTGTGGGTTTAATAAGATTAATTACAACTAACTAAAAGACAATTTTTAGATTTTAAGAATAATTATGACCAATTATTTTAAAAGAACTTGCATGCATACAGGCTATAGAGATGGGTCCGAGCCATCACACTCTGGATCATCATTCAACCGGGCACAAGTCCATGCAGAAAAGGACTACCATATCCTCCGTTCTGTGCACTCATTCCAGTGCCTCCCTTTTTCTGGTTAGTGGCAGTTCAGTTTTCTGTTCAGTAAAAGTGACTGTGTAACCACAGCCTCAGAGTTTAATCTTCCATCTTATTTCTCACTATCCATGTACCGCCAGTATTTGTCCATGTGTGGGACACTAAGACTACTACTTGTCAGAAATAAGTGTTTGGTGGGTTTTTTTTTTTAATATTGTACTGTTCTGGGTGTTAGGTTAATGATAGAGTTGAATAGATTTGGTGCACCTTGAAACCATATGCTGACCTGGCTGGGATGATCACTGTATGAATCCAGTGGCTTAGTTTGGGGAAAAAAATGATAAAGCATTTATCAGCATAAATTTGAACAGTCTCAGGAGATGATTCCAGGACAGGAAAATGCTTAATGTAAGAGGGAAAAAATAAGAACTTGGACAGCTTAAAAAGGAATTATGTCAAGAGAGCCTGAAGAAGCAGACTGACAAAGCTTCTACTTGAGGATGTACAGGATTTGGGCCTGCCTTCTCTATTCCTAAGGACTGCTGAGAATATCAATGAAGTATGTATTTGAATTGATTTGTGAAATCTTAAAATACTGGGGACTCTGAGCCACCTGCTCTAGTTGAAGATGTCACTGCTCATTGCTGGGGGGTTGGACTAGATGGCCTTTAAAGGTCCCTTCGAACCCAAACTATTCTATGATTCTATGAAAATCCTTTTCTCTGTATTGTTCTTTGTTTCCATATTCTTGTTTTCTTACTTCCACACCCACAGGCTCCCTCTCAACAAGACCAGCTCTAGATGCCCCAAGCCTGCCAGGCTAAGACCACCTGAGGCACTGCAGGGTTTGGTTTAAGTGCGGGGCAAGTGTGAAATCACACTTTTGAAAGGCTGTGCACAGGTGACACGTAGTAAATCCAGTTTCATTACCATGTTTACTAACTGGTACGTATGATCTTGGACGTAAAGGCAGGTATGAAAAAGAAGGGAGCTACATCTTGATTCTCAAGGAATCAGCTAAGTTCAGTTTCATGCAAATGCATAATTACAAATACTTACATTTAAAATCAGTATTTAAAATAACAAACGATGGTGACATCCCCCCCCAGTCATGAGTAGTGACAACTACTTTCAAGTCAGGCTAAACATCACCATTGTGAAGCCATCAAGTAATTCCGTTATAAGAGATCCTGTAACTCTTCAATGTATGAGCCCCAACACAGCAGAGACTTATGAGCATCGATTCATATTACACCACCACCCACTACAGCAATTCAGCCTCTTCACCCAAGAGGACAGCAGCAAAGGCAGAAGCTGACAAAAGGCACAAATGGGCACTGTTACAAATGAGCACTGTTTTCACACATATTACCATCTTCTGATGTTTTCTCCCTCGTGACATGAGTAAGTAACACCCGTAGACTGGAAGTTGTACGTGGATACCCAGACAGATTTTTAGCCTTACAATTTTAGGAACAGTAAGAATGAAGTTGCAGGGATACCTTATGAGCAGACCAAACCCACGTTTTGCAAATATGAATTGCTGGAAATATTTGTAGAGATTACTATTACAGAATCTTCAAAAGAAGCAACCCAATATACGGGAATTTCAGGCAATGTTTCTCAGCTTCTTAATCTTACAGCTGCCTATTCTATTTTAACAAAATCTTCAAATCATAACAGGACCTCAGTGGATTTTGTTTGCAAGCAAATACAAGTTAAATTAAGTTTTTACTATTCCCTTATTGAACTTACTACTTCTCCTTCTGCTTTGCTGCCTACAAGCATAAGAATGACTGTGAAGGTCTTTTTTTTGCTCTGGGTATGCCATTCAGGTTTGGGGAGCACATTTTTAGGGCACAGTGCGTAGCACCTGTATCTAATGGATTAAATGTGAGACTGTGTTCGGCTTCCTGGGAAGCTATTCTCACCTATTGATGGCATGAAGAATTTCATCACTCTCTCCAAACTCCTGGCGATAAGCTCCGCTCACCATTCGGTCACTGGCTTTATGCTCCCCAAACACCTTCTTCATTGCATCTGTTATTTCTCCAACAGTGCACCTAAGATAAAGAAACAAAGTATTAAATGCTATCAGGAGGCTTATATGAAAATGGAGTACAGAAATCACTGGCTGTGGCCCAACTATTTGCCTTCCTGCAGGATAAATTAATTTACTCTCGTTTCCCCTTTGGTGCTACAACTCTGAACATCTCACTCACTCCAGTGTCAGCCACTAATAGAACATGCAAGTGTATTTTTAAAAAAATACTGGTTTTTTGATGTGAGAAGTGATTTTACAAGTGACAAAGCAATGGGGACCGCTGCATAGCAAAACATTTCAGGAAATGAAATCAAATTTTCTCAACTGGGAATTTTTTGGGGCTCAGACTGCAAGGTCTCGCAAGGTCTCACATTTGGACTCATACTAAAATTCAAAATATAAATCAGGAGGAAATAAAAAGGAAGAACACAGAGAAAAGACTGAAGCCTAACTTTTTAACTAGAATTTGTCTGCCTTTCCCTTGATGTTTATATTTTAGTACTTCTTCTTCTTCTCTACTCCTGACATAGCTCCTTTATCCACGAGATGCAGAAGAATCTGGGAAATCCATTTATATGCAAGTTACAGGTTTTGTTCACTGCTGGAGACTCTGTGCATGTTTGAAATAATACATGTTTTACTGCTGTAGCACAAGTGCTAGAAGCAAACTAGGCTGTGCTGTCTTCTTGTACAAACAATCAGAAATAACAGCCTCTGTCCCAAAGCATTTAAAAATCTCATGCTTAATGGATTCCACCTTTCTGTGTAAAATCTATAATGCAGACTGTCCAAAAAACCCCGATGCTGTGCTCTAATTACAGTTGAGCCCACAACCAAATACTTGATGAAAGTAACCTACTTAGAAGGGAAAAACAACTCATCTGTCCTCTCTGGAGAAGGAGCAGTTCAGCTAGTAGCTCTATCACAGCAAGCTTCTTATTTTTGGTATGAAATTAACTGGGATTTGGTACTGTGTAACAATTTTGAAGGTATGCCACTGAGCTCATGATGAAATCATTCATCAAAAATATTTTGATGAAAATATTTTAGTTTACACTGGAATAGGAAAAGACTAGAGAATTTGCGTATACTAAGAAATTAATACAACTTGCAGCAAACTTTTTCAAAGGAAAGAAAGATAGATACTACTCTTATCAAACACTTTAAAAGTATGCTTACAAATACAGAGACCAAACCCCACCCATTCAGCTACTACTAAGCACATTTCAAATCCCTGGAATTCACATTTTCTCCTGTCATACTTCATTTAACTACAAGCTACTCAGAGGCAAAATTAGGTTAAGCATCCTCTAAAGCTTTTATATAAAATGCTCAAAGGATGTTTGGACAAGACGCAACTTCTTGTCCACGTACTTTTAGAAGGGGATGGCCAAATGAACTGTACTCAGTTCTCCTGCTGCTGTTTGCACTTTCAGTAGCTATGATCTGATTCCTACCGTTCGCAATCTGCCACGCATCCAATAACAGAAGATGGATTTCTGCTGTATTAACTGAATCCTTCAATAAATTTCAGAGAGATATTTTACTTCTGTGACCCCCCAGCTATTTTACTCTTTTGCTAGCTCATGCTTTTTATACTCAGCAAAATTAACCATAGTTATGAACTGTAACTACACTAATGTAAAATGGCAGAATAATGCATATGCCTGAAGCTGGCCTCTTATCTCTAGGTATCACTCTTCACAGTTGGCTTGCTTTGCCTAGAAGACAGTATCAAGCTGGAACAGACATTTTTAAGGCTGTGTCACATTACTGACACAGTCTTGGCCACTTTTTGTCATCTCCTCTCCCCTGGCTTTCTGGAATTTAATTTTTAAAGTTCTCTGCTTTTATCTATTTTCTTCCTCAGCACAGTAAAGAGTTCATACCTGGATTCATGAGGATCATAGTCTAGAAAAGCAGCTAATGCAAAGGAATACCACATTTATAGTATCTGTACGGCTATGTGTGCCTGGGACTTAGTCTGATATTTTCTTTGAATTTATTATTAGCAATGATTTAGAAAGCTTTAGTTATAAAGCAAACTGTCCATGATTGCATCAGAAACCATTGACATCACTATGTAATCTCTTTAATTTTTACAGAACATGTACGATCTCAGAGATCTTAGCAAGCACTACCTGAGTTACAAGAGTTCTCAGCCCTTACTCACTATATAATCAGTTTTATTTTGTAGGACGTCTAAGTAATCTTATTAATATCACCGTTCTCTGACATTACTAACAAAAAATTGAAAAGTAAACTGCATAAAGTGATAGATTAAGTGACTTCCCCAAGGTTAAAAAGCAACTTTGCAGCAGACCTAAAAATAGTATCTATAAATATTGACACCCTCTCAGAGTGCCAGACATCACAGATTGCAGCCTGATATAGATACAAACCATGCATAAACACTGACAACTTACGCCTGTGTAAACTGGCTGTTTGCTGAAGGCTTACAGTGGCATAACATGCATCTTTTTTTCTAGAGAAAACTGTAAGTTTAGACAAACCTTTCTCCTCCTCTTTTGCAGAAGCAACATCTGAGTATAACTTCAGTATTAAACCAAAGCACAGCATGCGTAGATATAGTTGTAGTGTGCTTTTCTATTCTTTTTAGGTAAAAGCGTGAATGAAAGTTTCATGTAACAAGTGAAAAATAAACGGTTTGGACTATCAATTTTATTGAAGTATAATCTGGTGGCTGGGATGAAGTTTTTCAGTGTACTGCACAAAAAATTAAATAGATTTCTTTCTTCTGTAAATACTGCTTCTGAAATCCCTTGAGAGTATTTTGAAAATTCTGCCCCAACTCTCTGCAACACTTTAGATTTAAAGTTCCTCAGTAATAATAGGTGTTTGGCTTTTAACTTACTTATTCATGTTTTTCCTACTATTTACCAAAAAACTTTTTTTTTAAAATCTCTACTTAGTCCTTAGTTCTGCTTCATCGGTGGGTGCCACCTATGCATCCACAGTGGAATAGCTCGGTCTGGAGTCAGGAATACAGCCTCTCTTCTTAACAGGAGAGGAAAAGCATATTTTTAATGATGATTACACTTTTCTTTAATGAGCTAGTCATAACATTGTCTCAGTTTTTTACAATCTGGATGTATAGAACTGCTCGCATTTCTGTTTATCTTTACAGCAAAGTATTTTTTTCCAGAGGCAACCGTTTTCATCTCACTATTATAAAACTTAATTAGCATAAGCAACAATTCTGATTATTAATTCAGTTTTTTCAATGCATGGTGATAAAAACCTATTAGACAATCAGGTAAAATTGACAGAACAAAAGTCACTTTGCCTTTATTTTATAAATTTGTGTTTCCTTCACATGACTGTCATTCACATTTGCCTTTTGCGGATCTGCATAATTTGGTAGCACCCTTTGTTTTGGGATAGGTAATTTACAACCTAATCTGTGGGTTTAAGTAAACTTAAAATTTTGAAAAGGAGACCAAAAGATAGCTACATTCTCTGTTTTGTGTTTTATTAGCCTATAGCCCTTACAAAGCATCTTGTGGCAAGGACAATAAAACGTAAACCATAGCCTGCATCCTATGAACTTCTGCACTGCTCAGAATTGCTGTTGACCAACTGTGCTATATCAGAGCCTCTCAATCAGAGATTCCCTGAGCCTTCTCAAAAGTAGGGGATTTCCAAGTAAGATGAGCTTGGCTCTTTTCTAAGATTTTGGGCAATTCAACAAGGTCAATGGGATGAAATATAATGACAACTGTATGGCCAGAGAGGATATTGTTCAATTCAGGGTGTCCTGTCAGGCACAGGATCTATCTCCTTTAGTAATTAGTGCTGTGACTCTCTCCCAGTGGTTCACAACCAGCTGTACAGGCTACGCGGCACAAATATGAATTTGTAGAATGATGTGCCTGTTAGGACTGTCACCTTCTGTCTGTTCAGTCTGACACTACTGCTGCTGCCTCTCTGCATTTCACCAGTAATGAGAGGTAGCACTGTGTAATCAGGTGACAAAGTACCATGAGGACACAGACTGGGCAGAAAAAGCAGCAGCAATACATGCTACATTGCACTTCATGCCTTCCTTTTCCATCACGGATAGCTGGCACAGCAGGAACTGCAAGCCTGAAGAGGGATGGAAAAACAGCACCGCAGATGAAGGAGATGAGGAAGAACTTAGCGTACTACCTGTCTCATAGACCTACCTAACTATACCCATTTTCCTGTGACATGGCTTCTCATGAGAAATGAGGCACAGAAGGGAGGCAGTACTGCTCCCATTCCCTATCACCTTTGGCCTGCCTTATTACTTTGGTTACAATAGTAAAATGACTTTTCTACTTGTGCTCGTCAGCACTGAAATCTCCATATTACTCCCCGGAGTCTTTTCCATAGTTCAATGCTGAAAATTCTGTGCTAATCCTTTTATTTCAATTGAATTACATTACCTGTCTTCATGATCAAACCCCATCATTTTCCATCCAGTAGGAGACATGCATCTGGTCATACTGGCCTATTTGCCTACTACTTATAAAGGATGAACGTGGTCACCTGAGAATCTTTTCCCATGTTGCCCCTACCAGAAGGGCTCCCCGTAAACGTTCACAGAGCTCACAATCCTCCTTCAAACACTCTTTATCAGATGCGATGACAACTTCTTTCTGTGGTCACACCCCATATATAGTTTTGGGGCAGAGGTAAGTTTTGTATTTGCAACTTACAAAGTTGATCTGAAGTCCATTAATGCTTTCACAAATAATAAAAACAAGGTCACCAAGGCCAGACACTAGCAGTTAACTTGTCAATTTTGGTACAGAAGATATGATCCCTGGTAAATCTAACACTACCCTCCCGTGACCCTTTATAGTTCAAAGACAGGTGTAGACATGCTGCTGGCAGAATTGTGGCAGGCTCTCTGTAGGAGAAAATGTATTCAAAATATGGATGTTAAGTATTCAAGAAAAGGGAATGAAGGAATTTCAGACATCACAGTAAAAATAAGACAGTGCCCCAATAAGGAGTGAATTTGGTTTACTCATTTTTGGGGCATTTAGTTAGTTAAGGAACAGACATATGTGATCTATTCTAAAAACTGACACTTACTTTGAAGCAGGCATGAAAACAGTCTTAAAAGCACCTTAGGTGAAAAAGTAAATGTTCCACTGGACTCTAAAGGATGCCTCACTGCTCTACTCAAGAGCATCTTTTATATCTTTGCCTGGCTAAGTAAACTTATTTCTCTTTCAGTCAAAAAATGTTTTCACACCAATCTGTGGTGCAAGGAAGGATGAAGCAACAGACCATGATAAGATTGTGAATATCCATTTTCACATCTCAGACACTTCTTAAGCTCCCTGACCTATGAAACAGCAGAGTGACAGAGAAACCCAGTTACATCCTGAAACTGGGAAGAGTCTCAGGTGTAAACAACACAATGTGTATGAACAACATCATTTCATATGAGATTCTTTGTATCTGTATTCTTTGTGAAAAATTAAAGCACGGTCTTAAAAGACTGTAAAATGGTATGGTCTATCTTACAATGTCAAACTGCAGCCATCTTTTACTTCCACCTTGGAAGAAATATCCAAAACATCTCAAGACATCAACCTCACTGACAACATACCCAAGAACAGTTGAAAGATGAAAATGAACCATTGATTTTTAGACAGCAGGTGGATATTCACCTCCGCCTCATTACCTTGAACGTGCTGCTTCCACTGCAAGCGCGAGTAAGTTGCCTTCCCCAGTAGCAGCACACTGTGTTAGAGCAGCTAGAGATTGCTGGGCTGCTGCTTCATCTCTACTAGCCTTCACCTAAAGGGGAGGAGAAAAAATTAAGTTGAAACAAACTACAAAGTGAACTGGGAAGTTGAGTGTGTAAGATTTTCTGATTTCAAATATTAATTCTGGAGGCATAGAATTGTCAATTGTCAATATATGCTATATATTTCAAAAATATTAGAAGTAAAAAAGTGTCTCAGACCTTAAAACATGTGTGCAAGTCCACTAAATAACTCTAAAGCCATTTTATCTACATTTCTACTAATTATGGAAGTGGATGTCGATTCCATAACCCTGTCCCTTAATAGCACTTGATAAGCTGCACCAAATAGTCTGAGTGTTAAGAAATGTTACATACTTTTAGAGATAAATATTGCATAGCTATTTTATATCTTATTTTCAGAAAATGTGAAGTTCTCAATTTTGAAACGTTAGACATATTCACAAGACTATCTGAAATACAATGATTAAAACCAAATGAATGTAACAAAAACATTTTTGTTTGGATTCTAAAACCGCGTTCCTGATTTTCTATCAGCCTCAATGGAAGTTCAACAGAAATCTAGCTTCTCCGCTAAAGACTAGAGCAGATTCTGAGAAATTTGAGGGTTTCTGGAAGGCCACTTTTCCTTAGTATTAGTCAAGTTCTATCTGCAATTACAAGAACTTTCATTTTTAAGAAGGTAGTTCCCACCTTATTAATCTTCTCAATCTGCTTGCTGCGGACTGAAGTATTATCAATAGCCAGAACTTCGACTGTCTCCTCTTTTTCTAGCTGGTGCTTGTTTACTCCAACAATTACTTCAGACCCTATTTCCAGTGGAAACACCAGAAACTCAGAATACATTTGCAAACTACTGTGAAAAGATACAATATTAATAGGACAAGAAAATTTTGAGCAACATAATGCAGCACTTTGCTTTATAACTATACACACTTCAAAAACTTAAAATCTGTTCTTATAGGAAGGACTTAAGTCTGTATTTTCCATATTTTATGATGGGAGATGATTAGATGCATGAAAATTCAACTCAGTGAATACTGGGAAAGAAAAAAGACTTGAAATAGAACAATATTAATCTTACAAACTGATTTAGTAATGACTCACATTATACATTAAGTATTTTTCTCTTTTTAAGTTTACATAACTGAATCTTACAGAATTAAGCAGAAGTGCTGCTCTCCTGCACTGCTCTGCATTTACTTTTCTGATGTACCAGATAAATAAGAAAGTGAAGTTCCTACCTAAAACTCCTCCATGTGAAAAAAAATTAATTTATCACATTGGAAAACTGTACTTTAGCTATCAGCTAGTATGGACTTTATAGCCACTTTTATTTGCAGTGCCTGATAACATTACTACATTCTTAAAAGCAACATGAAGTAATTTACCTTGGGAGAACAAACACAGAACTTTACTGACTATTCTTTATTGGTCTTAATTAAAGATCTGCTTCAATTTTATCACAGAATCACAGAATCATTAAGGTTGGAAAGGACCTTTGAGACCATCAAGTCCAACTGTTAACCCAACACCACCATGCCCCCTAAACCATGTCCTGAAGCGCCACATCCACACGTTTTTTGAATATTATAATTATATAATGTAATAATTATCATCCAAATAAAAAAGTTCATATAACTTCTTTCATGTTCAAGTTATCCCTAGTTTCTATTACTCGACTGCTACTGGAATGCAGGCTACAAAAAGTGGAACAGAGCTATAAGCACACATGTATACACACCTCCACATATACTTACTATATGTGTACATATGCGTATACATGTGTACATTGCACAACCAAAGAACTGCATCATCCTCTAACCTGAGATGACTGCTTTTTTTCTGGTCTTCAGGAAAAATGAGCACATCGGAAGCAAAACGAGGAATTTGGCCAGAGAGATTCAATATCGCCACCTGCTGGCGGTCATGCTTTTAAATTCAGGAGTCACAGTTTAAAGATACTATGAGAAATTAAGCAATTAGCTATTTAAGGCCCAAAATGCTCCTTTAAAATAGTCCTTCTAGTGCTTTGTCTAATCTAGTCTTAAATCTGTCAAGCAAGACTGTTTTCATACTGATACTGTATGGTGCTACTCCTAAACTAAGAAGAAAACAAACAGTGAAAATATGTGTAAAAAACCTTTATACAAAGCCATTCTATTGTCAGTTTTCCCTTCTTTCATGTCCCTGCTCCCTACCAGAGTCAATCCTGGCTTGTCTTCGGGCTGCACACTCTTCAATACGAAGTTTGGGAATCCCCTCAGCAACAGCTTTGGCCATTCCACCCATTTCTTCTATCTCCTCAACAAGCTGCGAAGAAAAGGATTGAGAAAATGAGAGTAGTAGCAAGGTTCAAAAAACAAGCTTTGCACCTGTAATGCTGCCCAAATTTTTATTATATCTATATATACAATCCAGTGCTCTAAAAGTGTGCTTCCTACCTCTGTGCCTGTGACTACAGGTGTTGGTATAAATTAAAAGAAATCTGAAACAAGAGCATTTTTTATTACCAAAACTCCATTAATTCAATAACAATGCATGGCATACTGTTCAACCAGTAACACCCATGGATGAAAAGGCTTAAAATTTGAGACCCTGACTCTGCACTGACTTCTGCCTGCCAACCAGCTCTTACAGTTACATGTACACAAATACAAATAAACTGAAAAAAGCCAGGGTCGGTTCTCTGATCCTGAAAACAAATGGCATGGTATGGTTCAGCTCTCACACAGCAGAAACCTATTCAGCTCCAAAACATGGTGACCACATTCAACCTGACTGTTGAAAATGGCCATCAGACCATGCCTGGCGCTGTCTAGAAGACTCCTGGTTGACAATGACCTAAAAAACACATCAGACAATGTGCTAACAGTATCTGTACAGTCCCAGGCTAGTATTTGGGCCTGTATTCGCTTATTAAATTGGGATTTTGCATAAGAGCAATAATTTGCTCAAAAGGAGAATCACTGGGTTTAGCTGTAGGCTAGACATGTAGGCATACATCTTTATGCAGGATGGCAACCAGTAAGACTACTCCTGCACAGTACTTTTCACACGCAAGTAATGGCTGGCAGCTAAAAACATTAGTAAAAAAAATAATATCTGATCCAACAGAAAAATTTCTCCTACATTCTGCACAATACTCAAGTATGGCCAGACAAATTGTCTGCCTATGTGCTTCGCTATAAAACTTTGCTTTCAATAAGCCCTAGTCTTAAAGTTTCCAGCAGATCACCACAGGCATGAGTTGCCATGTGACTAGGTAGGCTGGTTTGACTCCTTATTCTGTTGAACTCTTTTTTTTCTTACACATAAAACAAGTATCCCAGCAAATTAGGAGTCTTCAGCACCCAAGGGACTTTGCAGGGCTTGATTATTTGTTCCACACTGGGATATTTCTCTTTTGAACGTAGTCTACTAGAAGGACAAAGTCTCTCTTTCTCTAAATATACGCTATATTTTTGTAAAGTTCATTTACAGAGAAATCACTGAAGCTTAAGCTTAATAATTCCCTCTTTAGAAGTAACCAACATATCAAACAGTCCCTTAAAAGACATTTCTCAAAACTCCTGAAGTTTTCCCACAAAACGTAAAAGGTTATGCAAACTGACCTTTAAAGCAGCTTCATAGACATCGTTGGTGAGGCACTCCATGAGGTAAGATCCCCCCCAGGGGTCTGCCACTTTAGGAATACCTGACTCCTCTTGAATTATGATCTGCGTGTTCCGAGCAATGCGAGCACTCTTCACTGTAGGCAAACCCAAGGCTTCATCAAATGAATTTGTATGCAAAGACTGTGTACCTCCAAACACTGCAGCCATTGCTTCGATTGTAGTACGGATAACATTGTTAAAGGGATCCTGGAAGGAAAAGGAGAGCTCTGAAGCTCAGCTTTCTGCCACAGGGCTGAGGCAGATTAGTCACATATATACTACTGCAATGAAATTAATGAAGATTCCCAGCAGAAACACCGCAATCGTAGCAAAAGCTGATAAAGAAAACAATCAATAATAAACATGCAATCAAACTGATATATCACTTACCAATATCTTGGACACAAAGACTAAACCATAAAGACAAAAATATCAGTGTTTGAGTAACAAAGCAAAGCCTAACTTATATTTAGTGGTGTTTCAAAGAACTTAATGAACTGCATTTGGAGAGGGTGGAACAGGTAGTCCCAATGTTCTCCATCCTGGGATTTCAGAAGCCTTGGAGCAGTGAATAGCACATCTGGCAGACACTTTACTAGCCAAGATCAGTTTTGGAACTTGTATATTATATTTCATGCTTAATATTTTTAGTATATTGTATGCTTAATATTTTCATCAATGACAGCACTACACAAAGGTAAGAATTACTGTTGAAATTTGCTGGTGCTATAAAACTGAAAGACATCTAAAAGAGAACTAGGATATTAACCAAAACAAATGGATAATCTGAAGTTCAAGGTACAGAAATAAAGTCAGTATTACAGAATATAATCTCAGCCTTTAGGTCAAAATTTTTATCTGTTGTTTTCACACATGTAGATAGTTGAGTTGTATATATATGCCTTTACAGTCAAAGAAGAGTTATCATGATCTCCAGGGGTTGACTTGTGTTTTGAGATGGAGTGAAGATTCACCCACTGCATTTGCTCATCTTCTTTCATTGGATTATTGAGGGAACTTAACAGTAGCTCATACCTAATTCTTGACATGCTTAGTTGGGATGAAATGTATTCAAAATAATTAAGAGCTACCAATGTAACGGGACCTTGAAGAAGGCAAAATGAATCATGAGAACTGTGAATTACATTATTTTCCATAAAGAAATGGAATTAATATCACTATTTTACAAGGACACAGTAATTCTACCTACACTGGAGTCTATTCCTGGTTCAAGTATTCCATTTAAAGAATTACAGAAAAATGTGATTGGATGAGCAAGAATGTAAAACCTAATTTATGAGTTGATACTTACCTAAAAGTGGGCCAAAGGAAAATATATTTGCCCTCTGAAACCTATAAGGAGTAAACACTGGGCACCGAGGAGCTATATTATGATAAACAACAATGTTTAGACAGGAAAAAAGGGTTATGATTCGGACAGAAATATATTTACACTGGACACTGGAAGATGGTTGAACAGATATGCAACATATATGCACTCATACAATATTTTAATTGGAGGACCCGCAAAGGCCACTGTTCAGAAAATCCCATTATTTTAGTTTTACCGCATCCCTGTAATGTCAGGAAACATTACATCTGCTTTGAAAAAAAGAAGGCAAATAACAATGGTTGCAATCACAACCTCAAAATAACTCATATTGCATGACCTTGATTCAGAAGCAGGCCTTGGAATAAGAGCTTGAACCTAGCTCTGACCTTGCTTGTGAAACTATATGCAGTCCAATGATTTATTTTCTTGTTATGATGTAACTCAACAGGAAGCGCAGATAGTGCACCCAGTTTCAAAAGAGCAGACGAGCTGTAACCATTACTTCACTATTCAGCAGTGAGAGTCAGGGGCATGAATGACAACTTTGGCTCCTCAAATGAATTCTCAAGCCAGTGATCCTCTACTTCCTCATTCAGAGGCATTTTGAAAAGATAACTTACAGGAAAAATCCAAGAACGAACTTCATCCTCTGAGTGCTGAATTAATATAAGCACCTCTCTGCAATTCTCTCTCTACTTAGCAGGTCTGGATTCTACTCTCAACCCACTACCCACTAGCCTGAGAAAACACAGGCTTAAGACAATGATTTCAGAATGAAAATGAAGCCAGACAATGAAAACTTAGGCACTGAGACTCTACCTATCACCATAATGGAATCCTTTTGTGAATATAGGCTCAAGTCTTTAGTTTCTGCCCTTTTACCTGAGTGCTACAGGGCAGTCCAGAAAACTGAGGTATTTCATAAACCAGCATTTTGGGAAGCAATGCTGATGGCACTCAGCAAGTGTTACATAAGCACAAAGATGTATCCAATGCTAGAGCATGCATTTGTCAGACTAAGCCTAAGACGGGTTGTCTCCTTCAGAAAGCTCCATCTTTATGAGTAAAACCAGCAGCCCCCTATGGTGGTGCATTTCCCTCTGTCCCCCTTGCTCCTCGGCCACCCTAGGACATCAGCAATTCAGTTGCCTGGCAAGCTTTGGCCTTCGTGCAAAGAGTTTGGTGGTTGAGGGCTCCTTGACCATACCAAGCACTCTCGTGAGGTGTGCTGAGGTGGGGAATGGCACTGACTGTAGAAGGAATGTGGTTGCCTGGACAGGGCAGTGAATGAGAACGGGAATAACTAATCACGCCATGACATCCCTGGAACGACCGGTACCAGAGTTACTGGAAACTTGAGAAATTACCGATCTGGATTGTGGCCAGGACAGAAGTTGACTGACACCTGAAGTCAATCATCTCGTGACCCTATAAACAGTGGTTCCAAATGAAGGTCCTTTGAGTTCTCCTGGACCACAGCGGGCTGCAAACAGCATCTGCCTCTGAGTGGGACGTCTCTCAGAGCTCACGAACTCTAAAGTTTGCAAAGTTCAGAGGACCATGGCCAAAGACCGACAACAGGACCCGGGCTGAAACCCTCGACTCCTTGAGGCTCAACATTTGCCCGCTGAGAAATGCAAAGGCATTCGATGTGAATATTTCACTGAACCCAAGAGGAATTTCTAACAGGTACAGGTACAACTTTATATATCACTAGGTCTATATCTGTATCTCTGTGCGTGTGTGTGCAATTGGAAAACTTTGTTAAGTCTTTGGCTAAGTTGTTGGGTTACTCATAACAAATTGTTGATGTCAATGGACTAAGTTCTGCTAGAAAATTACATAATATAGTATTGTGGTTTACCTTAACAGTGATAATAAATTTTAAATTGCTACCATTCCACATTAGATTGCTGCTATTTTAAAGTTACACAAAACACAGAATCACATGTTACATCATCACACCAAGGTCCCTGCACTTAATCCCTTTAGACATAAACCACTGACCAAGTCCAGGACTAGGAGTGGATTCAGCGCACGTAGGTCTCTGAGGAGTTTAGAAAGCAAGAAGGTCCACTCTGAACCTTGTGACTCAATGGGAGGGTCTCCCTCA